TTTATAGACCCCAATGCACAAACAAAACCCTTATTGCACCACTAGACAAGCTAGTCTAACATATTGTAGAACCTTGCGTAAATCTGACTAGCGGTTTTGGAGAACGGGTGTGGAAAAGTTTATTTAAAAGAGCGGCGGAAGAGAAAGAGGAAGAGGAATAATAATAATAATAACTAGATATGCAATTGCTAGCAATAGCGAATGGCACCCTCGTCCATCTATTGCCATGGTGGTAATGGCAGCCGTTTTGAATATTCCAAATTTAAATAGCTCATTTACACATGCCAGTTAACATTTTTGTAAAGTTTCATTAAGTTTGGAGCATTTTGTAATTTTTGACATTTTTTGCTGTTTCCATGGAAACGGTGACCATTTTCAAAAGTCCAAAGATATGCGCCACATTGGCAGATGCCATGTTACATATCCATAATGTTTCATTGGTTTGATCTAATATTATTTAAGAAAAAGCAGCTTTAATGTATTTTCCCATGGAGTCAATGTTAAACCTTCGCCCTGTTTCCATGACAACGGTGGCCATTTTGGAATTTCTTAATAATGTCTGCACATCTAGGTATACCAAGTAACATTTCCAGAAAGTTTCATCCAGTTAGGTCTTATAATGAAAGATTTAGAATTATGAAATTTTTTCGCAGTTTAGCAGTTTCCATGGAAACGGTGGCTTAGAAACGTAGAATAACAGTATGTCACCCCAACTCCGTTGAGGGTGCCACATGATAATAATAATTGAGCAAAAACAATAAGTCTCCAATTTTTTTTGTGGAGACTTAATTAAATAACCTTCGTCAATTTTGGAATTTAAATATCATACCAGTTCAAATCTAACAGTGCTACCCATTTGGGATGTTTATGTACGCAGCCTCTGTTGTAAATCACTTAACATTCGTCAACTTTTTTAAATTTTAGAATTATACTAGTTAAAATATAACAGTGCTATTTAACAGTGATATAACAGTGAAGGTTTGGTACCATTAAAACGTTAAAACCCGCTGCATTTGTTTGCACCTGTCCTAAGTCAGGAATCTGATGTTCAGTAGTTGTCGTTTGTTGATATGGTTCATAAGTGTTTCTCGTTTCTCGTTTTTTATATAGATTAGACCGTTGGTTTTCCCGTTTGAATGGTTTTACACTAGTAATTTTTGGGGCCCTTTATAGCTTACTGTTCGATCGGTGTGAGCCAAGGCTCCGTGTTGAAGACCGTACTTTGACCTATAATGGTTTACTTTTATAAATTTTGACTTGGATGGAGAGTTGTCTCATTGGCACTCATACCACATCTTCTTATATCTATTCACTGAGAATCTCTGTTGTAATAACTTTTGTGAATATTTAACCTGTGTCAACTTTGAAATTTTAGAATTATACAAGCGTGTTTCGGTTTTTAATTATACCCCCGCTTTAACAAAGTGGGGGTATACTGTTTTACCTCTGTCTGTCCATCCGTCAGTCCATCCATCCGTCAGTCCGTCAGTCCGTCCTTCCGTCCCATGAATATTTTTCGTCGCATTTTTCTCAGGAACTACAATACAAGGATTTCTGAAATTTGGTTTCAGGGTTTATATAAGTCAGCTATACCGTGTGATGCGTTTTCAGATTCATCACTCAACAACTTCCTGTTTACCGAACACTTGTATCATACTCACATGATAGCCAAGTTGAAAATTTTCGTCACATTTTTCTCAGGAACTACAATACAAGGATTTCTGAAATTGGTTTCAGGGTTTATATAAGTCAGCTATACCGTATGATGCGTTTTCAGATTCATCACTCAACAACTTCCTGTTTACCGAAATATTTGGGCGGGGGTATCATCAGTGAGCAGTACCTCGCAGTTTCACTTGTTTGTATTACTTTCAGAATTGTTTTATCTATATAAGAATAAATAGTATATAATATGATAAGATTCATTTTACATCATACTGACGAAGAATATCTGTTTCCTTTTTAGCTCACCTGGCCCAAAGGGCCAAGTGAGCTTTTCTCATCACTTGGCGTCCGTAGTCCGTCGTCGTTCGTCGTCATCGTCATCATCCGTCGTCGTCTGTTAACTTTTACAAAAATCTTCTCCTCTGAAACTACTGGGCTAAATTTAACCAAACTTAGCCACAATCATCATTGGGGTATCTAGTTTAAAAAATATGTCCGATGACCCCGCCTGCCAACCAAGATGGCCGACATGGCTAAAAATAGAACATAGGGGTAAAATTCAAGTTTTGTCTATTATTTTGAAAAACGTTATAAATAGAGAAAATCTGACAGGAGCAGAAATGTTTAGAATGTTAAGCTCTACCAATTGTCCATATTCTTCAATACTGTGAGACTACTTCTTATTGGAGTTATTGCCCTTAAATGACAAATTTTACCATTTTTTTCATGTTTGCCTATCTTGAAAACTATAATATGTAGAGATAAACTTTAAATCGCAAAAATGATCAGCAAGACAAGTTCTACAAATGAATTCCCCATGTTCGAAATCGTCAGTCGACTTCTTATTAGAGTTATTGCCATTTTATTGTGTGTTTGCCTTTTATCTTAAATATTATAATAGATAGATAGAAACTTAAATAAGCAAAAATTATCAGCAAGACAAGATCTACAATTAAGACAATATGGAGGAAATCGTCCGACGACTCCTTATTGGAGTTATTGCCCTTTAATGAAGATTTTTACCTTTTTTGCGTTTTGCCTTATATGATAAAAATTATAATAGATAGACACTTTCATCACAAAAATGATCAGCAAGGCAAGATCTACTAACAAGTCAAAATTTGCCGATATAGATAGTAGACTGTCACTCTTTAAATGAGTAATTACCCTTAAATGAGGATTTTTTTTACCCTCTTTTGTGTTTTGAGCAAAAACTAAAGAAGATAGAGAGAAAGTAAACAGACTAAATGATCAACCATACAAGATCAACAAAACAGAGATTTTTGTCATGAGTTCTATTCTAGCCTACAATGTTGGAGAGTGTCCTTTGTTGAATATGCACATAGACCAAGGTGAGCGATACAGGCTCTTTAGGGCCTCTAGTTATACATGAAGTAGATTTTTGTTATCCGGGAAACATATAATATATTACTATATCAAAAGAGTATTTTGTAAATTTAATTTTTAGGAGACTGTTCAAACATGAAGGAGCAATATTATTTAAAATCTAAAAAGTTTCTAGAGTCATAGTCCTGATTCTGCACACCAAAAGAGTTAACACCTTAGCCCTATTCACAAGTTGTAAATATTTTGTAGCCATCATACACAAACCGGAGAGCACTTTTTCTAACTTTAGAGTATTAATTTCATTGCAAAAATGCCAAGCTCAAGGGAAAAAATTATAATTACTAGTACTTATGATAAAGTACGAAATATAGTGAGTTAAAATTTATCTAAATTGGAAAAAAAATATCCTAAACGTTTCAAAACATTAAGCTGCTGAGATGCCTTTCTACATAAATTCCTACTATGTAAATCAAAATTAAACTGGTAGTCAATGTCTATGTCCAACAACTTTACAACACCTGGAATTTGTCAGGATTAGCTTGTATTTTATTAGATTTATACCAGTCAATCAATTGGTTGGATTCATCTTCTAATGTAGACATTACCTTGTTAAAATCAGGACTATACAGAACAATAATGTGTTGTCATCTGCATAGTTAATATTCAATGAGCTCTGCTTAATCAAATCAAACGTTTATTATAAAATCGTTGAACAAAAGTGGTCCAAGAATAGAACCCTGTTGCACACCTTTCTGGATGTCAGCCCAACTACTATAAATATGTTGCCAACTTTTATCTTTTTCTTTTTGATAAATATGAATTTAAAAGGGACACTGGATGAGAAGAAACACCATAAAATGATAATTTATCGAGTAAAATTTCATACGGTTAGCAATCAAAAGCTTTGGAGATGTCTTTTTTTTTTATGAGGTGGAGTTATTTGTGCCTCCTTTTGTCTATCTGGAAATGCACCAGAGTCAACAGATAGATTTATTAGATCTGTCAGCTGTGGCGCAAAAACAGATTTACTATGTTTCACAACTTGAATTTTAGCTGGAAGTCCGTCACAGCCAGTAGCCTATTTTATTTATAATATTTACTTCCTCCTCGATGGTAGTTCTTTTAAATTCAAAATTTATCTCCGGGTCTCTATGATTTTGTATCTCTAAGATGCTGGGATGTGGAAATTGGGTCATATATAACATCTTTTCCTATTTCCTCGGCTACAGTTGACTAAAAAAGGCATTAAAATGTTCTCTAAATTGTTTGATATCCGAGTCTGAATTTTGTTGCTTTGACTCAAGACATTTTTTTTTACCTGAGTGACACTTTTTAGAGAAAAGAGGGTTTATAGTTTTCCAAAAATCTTTCTAAGATTTCTAAGAAATAATTTTTCATTGATCTCCTTTTGACCAGATTGCTGTTTTCTAAAATTTCCCCCAAGTTATTCCATTCCTTTGTTTTGTGTAACTTGAATAGAAGATATGTTAACGGTGAATGGGTTTTCTCAAATCACTATTTGAACATGCATTTTTTTATGGTATCTTGTTTTTAAAAGTGCATGTTTATCTAGTATATTTATGACATGAGTCTTTTCATAATTCGTATAAATTTTCATTTATACGCATGGGAAATAAAGCATAAAGCATGGATAGAAAAAAAGAGGAAAGTCTTGAGTATCACACACGCAAACCATAAATAAGCTTCTTAAAAAGATGAATTTTATAGCCTACTTATTGTACAAAAAAAGTTTGGGAAAATCAGGAACGAGAACTCAAATTTTTCATGTTCCCTGTTCAACACGTAGGAACAGTTTAAATAGTCCATACAGAAAATAGTCATTTGGGATTTAGAAAATAACGTTTTTCGTTTTTCATAATGAATGAATATGATATAACTTTAGATATCGATTGAATAAAAAAATCATCGGGTGAAATAAAGCTATATATAGGAACTACATTTACTGTCATTTTGTTTTGTTTGCGGAGTAATACACATTTGAGTTGAATTGAGGTCAATCGATTTAGGTTACGCCAAGCTTGGCGCGGGTTTGAATGCCGGCAAATTAATTAAATTTTGTGACATTTAATTAATAGGAGTGTTATTATAATCAAATCAGTCCATTTGTAAGTTTTACAGTAGTTTATTAATTTATTGCAAGTGCGAATTCTCGTTTTTCATTGTGTCTGATCATATGTTGTAACAAAAAATGTAACCTATTTTCATTTTCACCGTCTCGTAATTTGCATTTTTCAGGTAAATTTCGACGAGGAAATGTTTAAATTTTTGAAGAAGCATCCCGCTAAGGATAGCGAGGAGAGAGAGAAGTTGAAGAAAGAGTTGTTTGGATTCAAACGAGTGAGTAGTAAATTGTAGTAAATATACTTTTGTTGCAGCCATATTGAATGAAGTTAAAATGAATGACAGATGACTCATAAGTGATAACAAGATAAGGGGCCACTTAAGGTTATTAATTGACCTGTGTTTTTCAAGTTATCTGTACACGACAGGTATTTAACAATACTTTTAACCTGTTAAAATCAGACTGGAAATGGTTTTCCATCACAGAAAATGCAACAGTTGTCATGTAACATACATGACATGTGATATTTACATTTTCAGAAGACTTATATCTCATCTTCATCAACTTATTTTGATACCCATGAAACTTCTACCAAACAGTGAAGATGTTTAAGTAAAATCATGCCTACATCCAAATGTTGAACACTAGGCCAGGTGAAATCTTTTGTTTTCAGCAATACACCAGTTCTGAGATACGGTAGTTAGTTATATCTGTCATGTGACTTGCATCATCTAGTGACCAAAATGTAGACATCCTCGTTTGCAACACATGTCGAGTGAATACGTGAAAAAGTTTGATGCTATACTGCATGAAATATTTGGGGAAATAAAATTTAATTACTTGGTCATCCTCCCTTCAGTCATACCAGACATTGAGATTACGTACTTACGGAACATAAATTATTTCTAGCTAGACTACCCTGTTGAATGACAATCTTGAAACTTTAATAGGGGCAGGGATATAGGCGCGCCTTCTATCTGGAAATGAGGTCATAAGGGAGTGCGTAATAGACTCATCTTTTCCGGTGAAAGACATGAATTGAGAAATAGCCTATAGATAGTTTTTGATTGACGTAATTTGAGTAACAGATATTTCCATTTGTGATGATGTTTGAACCTTTGAGGTCAACATGCATAAAATTCAACTTGTTACAGCTGTACTGACCTCAACTTCAAGCCTTTAGAAGAAATAACAGCTGTACTGACCTCAACTTCAAGCCTTTAGAAGAAATAGTTTTCTCGACAATCTTTATTTGTTGAAGCTCGAGATGTATAAAACCAGAGATTGGTAACTCTGCAAAATCTTGTGAAATAGTCTGGCCGAGCTGGCCCTCCTCATGAGTTGATTGAAAATTTAAAAAGTACAAAGTAAACCTTAATACATTAAAAATAAAAACAAGATATCTAAATGATACCTTCAATACCCTTTCGAGAAATCTTTTAAATTTTGATGTTCTTTTACATCTTACATATGTATTTGTACTATCAAAAACAAAAAAAGGAGTATTAACCATATCGATGCCACCTCACTTAATGTGACTTTGTTGAATTTCTGATATCTTGATGTCAATTTTTTACTTTTTTTTACTCTTAAATTTGTTATTTTAAAAGAGGCGAAAAATGAGAAAAAATGAAGAGAAGGAATTGATCACTACATGAAGAAGTAGTTTAAAAAATAAAGAGAGAGCTGTATGCTGTTTCATTAGATAATATTCATATTATATTTCCCTGTCTAAACATTGTATAATTGGGCACTGCAATCTGGATAGATCCCTAATCAGACTTGCTTGTACCATATTTTTTAATTTTGTTGGTCAATTATGAAAATCTAAACATTGTATAATTGGGCACTGCAATCTGGATAGATCCCTAATCAGACTTGCTTGTACCAAATTTATTAATTTTGTTGGTCAATTATGAAAATCAACCAACCTGTTTGCCCTCCAACATGGTAGCCAAGGGAAATAACTTCATATAAAAAAGAATTATCAGTTTAAAGCTGATGATATTATAAAAGAGGTTTAAGCATATGAAGTTTTTTTTAGTCTCCTTTTGCATTGTTAAATTATTTAAGATAGAGAAATGGCCTCTTTGTCACAGATTGAAACTGGTAAATTTTGATATTGTCCTTTACTGACCTTACAGCTATTTTAGATATTTAAATAATAACAATTCATCATTTTTGGAAACCATCTAAGCTATTTGTTGTTTAAACATCACCAAAAAATGACAAAACATATTGAATTCAGGTTAATGACCTAGTAAAGTGTGGGAAATTGACACTTGGTTAATATATGATATGGCAAGTGACTATTTTATGGTAAGTTCATTTGGTCAGTTGACTGCCTGCTTTCAAGTCCAATCATGATTTCATTAATCCTATTCATAATTGCTCAGGCCAGTGTCTTGTAATATACTAATAAAGATTTATCTTTTCCCATATTTTACTAACCTAACACTAAATAAAGGGACCATGATATTTTGACCGGAGAGATCTATAGAGCTTAAACTTGTTGAACAATCAACAGATCTACTAGCTCTTCAGAGGATTTCTTATGAATCTTACCACCAACAAATTAGCTATCTTTACCCCAATATATTTTGTGAAAATATGGGACAAAATTTATCACACTCCCCAAAAATGTTTGTCACTGAGCTTGAGAGATTGCAATTGGCTAATTCTGGAAAGGGATATGTGTAAAACTGGAATCACAGACCTACTCACCAATTAGATTTAAGAAAGAAAACAAAATAATTTTCCTGTGTTCTGAGCTCAGATTTACATGTTACAGCCAAAAGTGAAAGAGAAAATCATTTTCCTGCATTTTGAGCTCAGATTTACATGTTACAGCCAAAAGTGAAAGAGAAAATCATTTTCCTGCATTCTGAGCTCAGATTTACATGTTACAGCCAAAAGTGAAAGAGAAAATCATTTTCCTGCATTCTGAGCTCAGATTTACATGTTTCAGCCAAAAGTGAAAGAGAAAATCATTTTCCTGGGTTCTGAGCTCAGATTTACATGTTACAGCCGAAAGTGAAAGAGAAAATCATTTTCCTGGGTTCTGAGCTCAGATTTACATGTTACAGCCAAAAGTGAACGAGAAAATCATTTTCCTGGGTTCTGAGCTGAGATTTACATGTTACAACCGAAAGTGAAAGAGAAAATCATTTTCCTGGGTTCTGAGCTGAGATTTACATGTTACAGCCAAAAGTGAAAGAGAAAATCATTTTCCTGGGTTCTGAGCTGAGATTTACATGTTACAACCGAAAGTGAAAGAGAAAATCATTTTCCTGGTTTCTGAGCTCACATTTACAGCAAAAGTGAAAGAGAAAATCATTTCTTGCGTTCTGAGCTCAGATTTACATGTTACAGCCAAAAGTGAAAGAGAAAATTGTATAATGACATAGATTCAGTTTCATTCACATGTACATCAACTACATTGCACATGAATCTTTTAAATGTAAGAACATAATTTAACAGGACCAGAGTACATGTGTCCCATCATGCCCATGGGCATTAAATAATATTTTTTATCCTCCAAAATATGATGCTATGTACTGGATGATCTTGAGCTCAAGAATGCAATCCTTTAGCAGTGTGAGAAATTTAGTTTTTTACAACAGGCTTTGAAGATTTTTTAAGCGGCAATCCTTTATTTATATTTGATGAAGAATGTTATAGTCTGATAAGATAATATATTAATATATATGTCTGACAGTGAACTGCAGGTTTTGCACATTATAAGTACAATGTAGCTATTCCCTTTTTAGAAAAAGCAGTGTATATTTGATAAAAAGCTTCTGTCTGACATGAGATTTGTTTTTTTCAGTGCACAGAACATGGATTTATTAACAAGCCCGCTTGTATGGATTATGATCCCAAACTTCAGTTGCTAGCCATTGGAAACAAGCAAGGTTATATTAAAATGTATCCTTTACATAGATTAGGACATTCATTTCAATGTTAATTATGTATTTGCTATTTATTTGAATACAGGCTCTTCTGGAAGCCAGATTCTGAATATTGTCACAGAATGTGACATTGTAACCTGAAAATATACTTTACTGAAAATATAGTGATTTGAGCTTTATGAACTGCTTACATAACACAAATGTATAACAAATAAAAATAGAAGACGATTTAAAAGTGAATATCTGTGAATTTTGTAGTGTGAGACTAAGAATAGACAGACACGATAGACTACATATCTATTTCTATTGATTTATTTAGTCAACTTTGATATAGAATTAACCAAAATCAAGTTAAAAGTTGGGGCAAGCCGCAACATTCATAATAGCAAAATTCTGTTTTGCATTTTCCAAATAACAGATGTGTAGTGTAAATCTAGATCAAAATTGCAGAACATTTTTATAAGAACAAAGCAGTTACTATTAAAATGTTGCTGATGTATCAAATTTTGTCTCAGTTGAAATGCTTTTAATATTTTATATGCCCCTGCTCGTAGGTGAAGGGGGCATTAAGGTTTACACCTGTACATGTACATCCATACGTATGGCCAAAATTAGCTTCCATTCTCTAACCTTAGTTTGCCTCAACCAATTGTTGTGAAACTTATACACAATGCTTATAACCACCAAACACAGATCAAGGTTAATTAGGTTGGTGTCACTTTTATTGTTCTCGAGTTGTGTTCCTTTATAAATGGAAAATTACCAAACTTGTTGTTTTGCGCACTCAACATTAAGAAACAAATGTCAACATAAGTTTCAAAGAAAACAAATGTCAATAGGTTTGAATTAGTATATTGACTCTTGCATATTTACAAGTGGGGGGCATCTGTATCCCATTGACACAATCTTTTTATTGTATAATTATTTCTGCATTATATGATACATAAAAGGAAGAAAAAATATAGAGTCCTTGTTTATAAGATATAGCAATGACAAATCATAGTTCCAGGACTGTTTTCTTTATCTAGCATAATATTCATATCCCACCTGTTGCCAAATATTCAATAACCAGACCGCATGTTGCCAAAAATTCAATAAACAGTATGAAATGAAAGTTGTGTAAAATACTAAAAAATATTACAAAATAACAGAGCAGCTGTCTGCATATTTCTAACATTCTTCACATAAATGTTAACTATCAAGGCTTCAGTTTATCACAGCTAATACAAAATTAATGGAAAGTAGAAATAGTGCACAACTGTCATTCTTGTGCATTGTAAGCCTTTAATAGTATTAAGGCGTGACATTGAAACTAAATTTAAACTGCCTTTTTTCAAGATGAGCTGCTTGCATGTTTTGAATAGCATATTGGAACTCTACGTGCATTTTGCCTATCTTGCAATCATAAATTTTCTCCAAAGATAATTTTAGTTACTTAAATATTATTAAACATGGGATAATGATTTTTGTAAACATTGAATAATTGTATGTGAGGAATGTCATGGATGGCAATGAAGCATACAATGAATGTAGATATACTATATCTTTGTAAGGTTATAAACTGTCAAGGTGTGGGCATGCTAACCCACTTAATATATATACAATAGGAAGAATTTATTGTATACATCTTCATCAGTCAAGCATGCAAAAATGTTAATAGGATCAGATTTTTGTGAAATTTTATTGTCTTTAAGTATCTTGTAGTGTTTTTTTGGTGGTTAGGTCACTAGGTGACAATTTAGGTATAAATGTGAATTAAATTCTGAAGTACCGTTTATTCCAATCATACATGTATCAGTTAAAATTAATTGATTACAAATAGTGTATCTGATAATACAGGTTAAAGGGAGAGTATGAAGTTCATAATTCAATAATAGCTGATGCATAAATTTATAGATGTTAGCAATCAGTGCAGGAAGTTGGTTATTACACCCAAAAAATAGGTCATGTGTATAATAGTAGTTCACAAATTTACATAAAATTGTTTACATTAAAAAGAGACATTTAAATTGGGATGGTTTTATACTGTCAACACAACTCCCACTTACATATTTTCAGAATATGACAGTTGAAATAAACACCTCTGACTTCTCTTGTATCAAATAATATTTGTCCCACATACACAAAAAAGTATGCAGCTGTACAAAGACTTCCCATTTCTGAATCACGTAAAAAAAATTTGTATAAAATTCTATTGCAAAGTTTAATTTATCTACTAGTCATGAGAAATTAACAAAAATTGAAGAAATTGTAGTTCAAAGTAAACACACAGTCAAGTAGAATGATAACATCTTTACAGCAAGCTTTACTGCCAGGAATTTCTATCTTGAGACTTGTATTTCACTGATTCAAGGATTGAATGCCCTTTAGAACCTATAGATAATTTCCATGATTAGCCATTTCTGCAAACATAAGGTGTAAGAAAAAGATTACTTGTTTGAGATCACTTGCAGTTTTCTAGGGAGATTACATAGTGAAATTAAATTTCTTACTGCATGTACATTGTACTAAATAATAATATGCGAGTCTATTATGATGTATATGACTGACATGATAATGATTAAACATGCATCCCCCAAAACCACCATCAAATGTAAAAATTATTGTAAACCAAGTCATTCAATAACCTGAAGGTATGATTGTGCAACAGTCACTTCATAAATATACTATTGCTCTAAAATAAACATTTAGTTTAGAATGAACAAGGCCATTTACAATGTTCACCCTAGTAGCAACTTTGATAGTACATGTATCTATCTTAACACACGAACAGACTTGGACAGCCTGGTGTAGAATTCTGTGGTGAACTGAAGAGTGGAGCATCTGTCAACCAGTTATTTTTCTTATCAGAAGAGGTAATTAAAGATTCATTATGTACCTAATTATTGCATGTCCTTTACATAGACATGTTTGTTTAATGTCATTTATGAATAAACATTTCAATATCTGATGACAACAGGTAGACATGATGGCATGTATTAAATTACCTTTTCATCATCTTGCACTATGTCATCTTGTATCAAAACTTGGTGGATAAAATTGCTGAGTTAGCAATACATGCAGGTTGACATATTGATAATAAAGCGGCACAAATGGAAATTACAATAATGCCATGTTTCATAAATTTGTTACTGTTAAACTGGAATTGTTTTAATCCTAAAATAGTTTTATGATCATTTGGCTATGTGGCAACCTTCTGTTTAAACATAGGATCTAGTTATAAAAGAGAAAGAATGCTGCTCAAAGAGTTTCGATTTTAATTTGTACTGTACAACACCAAAGTGTCAATTTTCTGTTGAAAAAATTGTACAAACTATGATATTCAGTTATACTGGTATATAAAATATATATATATACCCCTAAACAAAACCAAGATACAATGATCCTTGAACTGTAAATCTTGGTTTGTTTTATGTGATAGTGTAACCCATCCTGCCATTGTTACTTATTAGGGTATAAAGTTTAACAACAAAAAATTTATAAATGATAAAGTGATTCTTGAACTTTATACAATTCATTTCTGTAAAAACTTTTCAATGTAGAAATCAATACATTTTGTAGTTCAATTACATTGTTTGTCCTACTATTTACAGTTAATCTCGTGACCTGAAGGGTGTCAATATGTCCATTGATGTCCAGGGTAAACTGACCTTTGTCAATCCGAAGATTAGCTACAACAGCTGAAAATATTTTACAGAATTTAGTAAAAGGATAGGGTTGGGAGAGAACTTTATTTACTTAAAAATTAAAAAAAATAATAACATTTGTTTTGATAAAATAAACTTTGATTCTTCTATAGAAAAAGGGAAATGTTTTCATAACTTGTTAGTTAAACTATAGTGGTGGTTTCCTAATCATTTGCTGTGATTTTCATTTGAGGCAACATAAAAGATTTATGTTTCTCAATTTTAAGGCATATTTACTCATCTATTTTACTGTAGTATCTTGAAAAATTAATCCCATATCCCATTATATTTTCAGTACATAACTGTTTTAAAATGAATTAAATTGAAATCCAAACTTTTGCTTCAAAGCATAAGGAGGAAAGCTTGCAAAAGAAAATATGATATCATCTGAAATAGATAACTGAAAGTACTGTAAAACATTCATGATAGATAGAGATACAATCAGTTATTATGTTACCCTAGCTAAATCTCCAGAAATCAGATATAAGATTTATAATCTCTTCAATAACAAATATTTGTAACTAAAAGCATATATTTAAAAGATTGAAGATGATTGATTACTATAGTCTGTATTTTACAGACAAATTGAAAATCTTTCTGCTTCAATTAGTTTAAACATCTATTTATCCAGACCACATCAAAGAATTAGTGGTGACCCCATCTGTAATTATTTTCTTAAATACCTTCAAATTAAACAAGTATTTTGAACATGATCATTTTAAGCAGGTGTTATTGATATTTTCTCTTTTATGTATTTTGACTTTTGTTAATGTTGATTTTTAGGCTCGCTTGATATCCCTCTGTGGAGACAACACTATCACATTATGGGAGATCAACGATAAAGGAGAGAATACAATTTTAGAAGATGTGAAAGAATTTAAATTTAGTGCTGAAGAAAGGTAAAAAAAACTACCTGTACAACAGGTAAAAAACGGATACTCTGTGTGTGATTGGCAGGTTTGTGGATGTTGGCTTATCTGGTTACACTGTATTGTTATCTTATCTGTAATTGGTTTAAATAATTGATAATTCAAAGATAAGATGATTTTCCCCCAGGTGGTCTTTGTCCTGCTGGAAATTTCAGATGAATAATGTTCAATGATTTGACTTTATTTCTATTGTATTTCTAATGAGTTTTTTTGAAAAGGTCAACCCATCCAAAGTTATTATCATGTCACAATCAAGAAATGGCTCCATTTCACACTAGGTTGAATAATTTTAATACTTTAAATGATCTTATTTGAATCCTATCATCAGATGGTCCTCTCTATCTGATAACTTTGTTTTTCACAGAGAACGTCGTAACCTTGTGAAATGTTATAAAAAGTTTTTAAAACTTTGCCTCAATCCCAAAATATTTTAGCAAAATGAAGTGATCAAGTTCATACTTTGGATGCAATTTTTTTAACTAGACATTAGAGGGGGGGGGAGTTACTGGAAGAATTATATAGTTATTTCATACAATTTAAACTCCCTAATTGGAGCCTCTTTGCAGGTAGCTACTGAAGCTTGATTGGTTTACAGATTTAAAATGTGTTTTCATTACAGAATTGATTAGGCTTTGTTAAGGTTCCTAAATATATTGATTATGGTTTACAACCTAGAGGTCTAGACATGAATAATCAATGCGAAAATACAAAATCTTAGTTCTTTTACAATAAAATACCTTCATCACCATTTAATTTTGTGACTGGTGAAAAATCAAATAATGTATTACTAATCAAAATATTTACACTTGCATGAGATCATGATTTATTTTCTGAGTATTATTTCATTGCCTTTATTTGATGTACTTGAGTGTTTCCAAGTTTCTTCAAATGTACTTACCTGGTTTCTTTTGTGGTTACATGATAATCTCTTTTTCTTTGTCAACTAGAAATTCAGAGATTGTGGGAATTTTTTATGGCCTCATTAAGATGTGATAGATGATCATAGTTATATAGACATGCAGTTCATCATGTAGTGTGCTATCTATTTATTATGATCAGTTAAGAATATAGACTAGAATTTGTTATGCCTCTGCCTGTCAAAGCTAAATATATGGTACAAGTTTTGGTCATTGTTAAAGGCAGTACAGTGACCTATAGTTGCTAACATCCACACCCTTCTGTCTCTGGTAGATAGTTATCTTCATTGGCAATCTTACCACTTCTCCCTATTTTTATAGATAAGATTTACAACATATGTTGGTTTAAAGCTGATAAACATTGATAAATGTAGAAAGTAAGAGATTTATTAATTACAATAAAGCAAAGTATTATCTTTTTTTGGTTTCTTTTCAGTAAATTCAAGAACATATCAGTATGTTGCTTAACCAAGAACAAAGAGCACCTGTTGATTGGAACAGAAATAGGAAACATCTTCATATTGGATTTAAAAACATTCCAATTACTTGATCAAATCATTTATCAAGATGTTGTTATGCAGAAGTAAGTCTTTATTGTCACATATACTAGACTTTTGAAGTAAGTGGTCTACTTATCAGTCTGAAAAGATATTTACTATATTTAAGTCTATAGCCCAGGGCTAATTCAAAGACGAGAGTTCAGAAATAGTAACAAAATAGGTTCAATTTGAAGTTTGAACAGAGAAACTGAATTGATGGACAACACCAGATTATACAGATAGAGTGACTTGGTTGAGGCCTATAAGGATTTAAAAAAATTGCAATAAACAACATATTTCTTTAAGAATGATGTCAAAAACCATGAGGACAAAAGCAGCAAAATAGATGTTTACAAAATTGGAAGTTTTGATGCAATGGAAAAAAATTAGAAATGCTGGAAAATTAGAATAAATTCTGCTTGGATATCCTCATACTGTTATTACGTAATAGAGGAAATCTGTAAAGAATTAGAAGAGTTTGTCATATTGATTTTACTACATTGTTTTGCATGCAGGGTGACTAATCATCTTGATTTGTAATTTGATCAGTCAAAATTTATAATTTCAAAAATCTGATATCATATTAAAATCAGTGTTAGATTTTGAAATATTTTGATAGAGTGTTATTGCATTAGATAAAAAAAGGTTAATATTTCCAACTACCTAGAACATGTATTTTCAAACGTATTATTTCATTGCAAATAAGATTTAAGATATTTCATTTAATTTTTGAAAGGTCCCCACATACACATTGTAAAGGAAGAATTGTTCCAGGTTAGAACACATTTTCATTATGGAACATCTTTGACTGTTTCTTAATTACCAGTGGTAAAGGCAAAAGAAAATTTTTGTAGTTTTTATGATTTCTCCTTATGATAATAATGATAATGATAATACACATTATGTTAATGAAATTATCAAGAAAGAGTATTAAGCAGTAAGGAAGTATGTTAATAGAGAGTAATTTATGTTGTAGTGTTCCAGACGATTTCAAAGTTAATCCTGGTGCGGTTGAAGCAATAGCTGTTCATCCTATAAATCCCGATAAGGTATTGATTTTTATTTCTCACTGCAGTTAAGATCATTTCTTCAAAAACTATTATACAATATCAACAGAGTATTTATGTAAGACATTGCATAAGGACTAACACTTTCTTAGTATTATTTTTTTAAAAGGGGTAAAAATGAAATTGTTTCAAAAAGTTTTTATATGACGTATAATGGTAGATGTTGTCGTCTTCTGGTTTCCAGGCTATAACTTATGCACTAGTGTATGGATTTCTATGAAATTGTACCTCAAGGTTCCATACCATAAAAGGAAGGTTGGAATTGATTATTGGTGTTATTGTCCTAAATGTTTAAGAATTATGGGCCAAAAACAAGCATTTTTCTTGTTTTAGGTCAATAACTTGTGTATAAGTGTATAAATCTCGATGAAATTGTACCATAAGGTTCCATACCTCAAAAGGAAGTTTGGGATTGATTTTGGGGTTTAGGGTCCATACTGTGTAGGAGTTAAGGCCGAAAACAAAGATTTTCTGGTTTCCAAACAATAACTTGAGTATAAGTCTATGGACCTCTTTGCAATTGTACCACAAGGTTCAATACCAAGATAGGAAGGTTGGGATTGATTTTAAAAGATATGGCTCAACCGTTTTGGAAAAAGGGGCCAAAAACAAAACTTTTCTAATACTTTGTAAAAATTGCTTATTTCTTGACCAATTTCAAGGAGGTTTAGATCAAAGTCTTGAATTTTTGGGGTTCTTTAATATGCTAATAATATATCAACCATGTATTTAGATTTTGGGTATTGGGCCCTGTTTTTAAATTGGTCCTCATTGAGGTCCAAAGGGTCCAAAATTAAACTTTGTTTCATTTCATCAACATTTGAATTATTGGGGTTATTGATATGGTGCAGATAACTGTGTAATTGCTGTGTCAAATATTTAATCACAATCCAAATTCAGAGCTGTATCAAGCTTGAATGTAGTGTCAATACTTTCTCCAACTGTTCAGGGTTTGACCTCTGTAGTGGTATTGAGCTGTGCCCCGCTGAGCATTTTATTCTCTTAGCTTTCAAGTTAGACCAATATAAACTTGCAATTAGGATGGAAGATATACAGCTTCAACTAAAAGAGGTGGTTGAGCTTGCTTCTTTTAGTGTTGCCTTGTGTAACACAAATAACTTTGAATTAGATGTACAAACAATATAATATTTTAATGTGAGGAATATGAAAATGTTCTAAGGAGGGGTGAATATTTTATGTCCAGAAAGTTATCTTTCAACAGAGATGCAGATAATTTTTTATGCCCCACTTACGATAGTAGAGGGGCATTATGTTTTTCGGTCTGTGCGTCCGTTTGTTCGTCCGTCTGTCTGTCCAGCTTCAGGTTAACATGGTTAAAGTTTATGGTGAAGGTAGTTTTTGATGAAGTTGAAGTCCAATTAACTTGAAACTTAGTACATATGTTCCCTATGATATGATATTTCTAATTTTAATGCCAAATTAGAGTTTTGACCCCAATTTCATGGTCCACTGAACATAGAAAATGATAGTGCGAGTGGGGCATCCATGTACTATGGACACATTCTTGTTTTTCCTGTCAGACATTGGGTCCTGCATGTAAGACAGTTTTGCCAGACCTACTTATTTTGAAAAATAATAACCAGTTCCCCAGTTGGATTAAGATACACCTTAAAACCTTGACTAAATCGACCAGGTTAAATAAGGATATGACCATGGGGGGTTAAATGACCGAGACCACATTTAATTTAAATCATCCTGCTACATCAAATAAATAAATGAGAATGTTGTACTACACTTGCCAATAAGACAACTATCCATTAACTTTATGGACAGTTGTCTTATTAATTAGATCAAAATCAATGACCGTGGCAAGCTACATTTACGTCACACATTAACTAAAATGGAAAAAATACTCTCAGAAAACTAAAAAAAATACTTGTTTTTGTTTAATTTAATTTACATAAATATGGTCATAAGTTGTCCCTTAATAGAACTTTGGGTTTTCAATGCTTTTCAACAACATAATTGAAATGGCCATCTATTGGACGCATGGTTTTCTGTCAAGTGACATTGCATGAACCGTGCGTCCGAGGGACGCGTCCTGATAACACTTGCTGAGTCTTAATTGTCATCATCTGAATTATCCCTCAGCTATCAAAAAGAAGCTGAAAACATGCTTCTATCCAATATTGTTACTGGAAATTTACTTTTGTTTTCATTCATTGCTATGTGTAATGATTAATCCCGAGAAATAAGAAAAAAATTATGATCACATGACTTACGCTCAAGGATCCAGAAATTTTTCCACACAATTTCGGTCATTTTGAGATGATAGAAAAGTTGGTGCCCCTTTCCTAATTGTCGATGTCAACTTGACTAGATTCATAGCATCAACGAACTTGTATTGCTGTTTCATCGCATTTACTAAGTAAATGTATTACCATTACCATGAAGAACAGTTTAGGGAAGGCAATAGTTTAAAATTGAAATGATTTTAATGACTCAAAATGGTAAATCTCTCAGACATTGCTTACGTTTCTTTCGATTTGACAAAAGTTAAAACCGGAAGTTTGCGATAAAGTTAAAGTACGAATAATTCCGGATTCATTTCCGGGATTTGTTTTTTTTATCAAATTGACAGGAAATCACCGGCTTTTTATGGCTTTTTTATTTTACTACCTTTAGAAGTGTTTGAATGTAACAGACAATAGTTGCACTCGTTTAATTTAGCATGAAATCAATTTGCATTTTACGATTAAACATTAAATTTGCTGAAGACAATTTCACGCATGCGTATTATATAGTAAATAAAGCACATGAAAAAATACTTTCTTCTCCGTAAATTTAGGTTTAATTTTTAAATCAGATTTGATGATTGTCTTTGCTGAAAAGTAATTAAATAATGAATACACTTGTAAGGGAATTTCAATTTTTGTTAAGATATTATTCTGAGCTTGTGATCACTGTCAGGTGTGAATAATTAAAACCACAGGTAAAAAGTGATTAGCGATCATAAGCCAATGTTTCACGGAGGCATTGATATAGATATTAGGAGGGCCCTCAGGATTATCAAACTACTGGAGTGGCAGTTTTATTACAGGAAAGGGATTATAAACAAAAACAAGTGATCACAACTTACACAAGACAGTGCAAAATGGCGATTAAGAAATCTGATTTCAATCATTGAGTCAATGAAATGACCGAAATTACTTCATTAAAAAAATAAAATTTGTCCTAAATCCCTATTACTCGTTTAGGACAAATAGTTTCATCTTAGGACATGACTGGCATATATGACCGTTTCCGGACCCTTGCTTACGCTAATTGGATAAACATAGAGAAGATCGAAATCTGTTTACATCAGCACGTTTACCTATTACTGGCAATAAATGTGTCAATACAACGTTTGGTGTTCAATGCTTTTCAACTACATAATTGATTTCGAAGCCAAGGTAACCAGGACCAACTGAAATTTCAATATTGAAGGCCCCAAACAGTAAAAATATTTGCCGGTCATTGGGTCTGACACAAAGACGTCATTTGCCGGACCCCCTAAATTTCTGTCCCCTAGGTCTGATGAAGGGATAAGAACATGTTCAATGAGAAGACTGTTTTATAGTGACAGTATATTGTTTCACTGTTGTTTTGCCTTGTGTTTTGTCAAGTATATATAGGGTTTTTGTGTCATGAATAATTTATACAATATATGCTTTCTTTTCAATTATGTTTATGAATTTGATTGTTAATTGCAGGTACTGATAGGATATAACAGAGGTCTAATTGTATTGTGGGATAACAAAACCAGCAACACAGATCAGACATATAATTCTACACAGGTAAAAAATCATCAATTATGTTATTTATATTGAAGTAGCCTTATTCTGTATTATACCCCCTGCTTGGTTAAGGTATATAGTGATGCTGGGTGTCCTGATCTTGTATCCTCATCTACTTCTGAACTGCTTTACTGAACTTTGTTATTCTTTCACAGAATCATGTTCATGTGATGTACTTTTACACTTCCTATTTCATTTCATTATTGGAATGATTTTTGGCATTTACTTTTTAAATCATAATCTTTAAAAGGCCTTGGGAATGAGAGATGAAAGAATTCAAACAAGAAAGCTAATGGCCTGATTTATGAACAAAACAATATACAGAAAACAAATATGTTATGCAGCAATAAAAGACCAACTGATTTACAGTCTCCTGATTTTGCATGTTCATTGTGATATATGAAATCAGTCCATTGAGCATGTAAATGTGATAATTTATAAATGAAATTCTAAGCAAGGCATTGTGTCAGGACACATATATTTGTTGTACAATATTTAACTTCATTTTAAATTCTTTCAAAAGATATTCAAATGTTATGATATAAGTGTTTATAAGGTTTTAATCATATTTGAAAGGGATTAAATTAAGTTTTTTAGTTTCAAACCATGACAGTTTGGTAACTTAAGTTGAGAATATTTCAAAATTATTCAACTGTTTATAATTTTGAAAACTTATTTTTATGTAAATTTTGCCTGCAAATTTTAAGATAAAAAAATTTTCACTGATTAACAAAATTTGTTTCATTTGTAGCAATTAGAGTCTTTGTGTTGGCATAGGAATGGTGAAGAGTTTATGAGTGCTCATATAGATGGCAGTTACATTGTATGGAATGCATCAGATTCAACTACACCAAAAGAATCAGCTCTTACACCTTATGGTATACATTTCTCTTTACTCCTGTAAATAATCCAGGCCACACTTAATCTTTTTTTTTTGTGGGGGGGAGGGATTTCCCATATAGTTTTGGTTAGTTGATTTTTAGATTATTGAAATTCTTGTTACAATTCTCATATAATTTTAGATAGTTTGATTTCTAAATTATTGACATTCTGGTTACAATTTTTATACGACGCCCGTCAATTTTTGACCGGACATATTATGGTATACAAATGTCCGGTGTCGGTCCGTCTGTCTCTCCGGCGTAAACATGTCGCGTAACTTTAGAATGACTTATCCAAATTTCATGAAACTTAACATAATTGTTTCTTATGATGGTCAAACGATCTGTATACTTTTTGGTGAAAATAAGATTAAAACTTTTTGAGTTACGGGACTTAGTAACTAAAACAGGTGTGTGTTTTTTTCACATGTCGCGCCGTATCTCAAAAACAATTTATGATTATTGCTTAAAACTTTACACACTTCTTAGTTATATTAATCTTAAGATCTGTATACTTTTTGGTGATGATTCAAAATTTTATTTTAGAGATATTGAGTATTTTGTTAAAAAAGGTGGAGGGGTTTTCACATGTCGTGCCGTATCTCAAAAACAGTTTATGATTATTGCTTAAAACTTTACACACTTCTTAGTTATATTAACCTTAAGATCTGTATACTTTTTGGTGATGATTCAAAATTTTATTTTTGAGTTATTGAATATTTTGTAAAAAAAGGGGGAGGGGTTTTTCACATGTCGCGCCGTATCTCAAAAACGATTTATGATTATTGCTTAAAATTTTACACACTTCTTAGTTATATTAATCTAAAGATCTGTATACTTTTTGGTTTTGATTTAAAATTTTATTTTTGAGATATTGATTTTTTTTTTTTAAAAGGGGGGTTTTCACATGTCGCGCCGTATCTCAAAAACGATTTATGATTATTGCTTAAAATTTTACACACTTTTTAGTTATATTAATCTAAAGATCTGTATACTTTTTGGTTTTGATTCAAAATTTAAAATTCACACACAAGATGACAGGCGTATCATGCGCTCATGGCGCAGCTGTTTATTTAGAAATCTGCCCAAATGTCTCCTTTTCAAAATGAATTTAAAGCTTGACAGCTTTCAGATATTTAAGTTGAATTAGAAATCTTACTTGTTAAGTACATGAGTGATCTGAGAAAATATCCAATTTACACATTTTGTGGTGCTTTATCTGTTGAAATAATTACTTCCCTTTGTAGCTCAGCACTGCAATGAACAAGTACTGCTTCCATGGAATGAATGTTAAATATACTGTTCTTTGGATTGGTTGTCTAGAGATAGACTGGACCTAAAGACAACATACAATTTTTTCTTGAAATTCATATTAAAAAAGCAAAAATTACATCTTAACTGAAATATTTATTTTTTTATTTGTAGGACCATTTCCTTGTAAGGCAATTAGCAAAGTTGAATGGAAAACATCGAAATCGTGAGTATTTCTCCTAATTGTTATTATGGGGCACATTGGTATATGGTACAAAATGCATAGCTGTAGAATTAAAAAAGATATATATTTGTAAAGCAAACATAAATCAGTCAATCTCAGCATCTATAAAGATAACCTCAACATTAACAATTGCTTTCCTTTTATAGCAATGAGAGAAACGCTACCATTTTATCATTGCATATGAGAGAAAAACTAAAAGATAACGGTTGAAGGACAGGTACACAAATTATAATTTCAGAAAACAGATTGAACAACACAACCCAATAAAATGTTAAAAGTTCCTGCTCCACTTGACATTAGAAATAGTCCAAATTTGATTTTCTAGAAAGAAAGGAAAAAAACAGCATAAAAAATTTCTTCTTTTACATATTTAAAGGTCTGACTTTATCCAGAAAATATAATGTGACAAACATGGCCATTTCTAATTTCATGTTTATAGTTATGAAATAATTATTCTTCGATGTATTTTTGAACATGTGAATTTTTTTTAAAGAGAGCCTTTCATCATATTTTCGGGAGGAATGCCTCGTGCTAGCTATGGAGACAAACATACAATCAGTGTTATGGAAGGATCTAACCATGTTGTGTTTGATTTTACATCTAAAGTAATAGATTTCATCACATTAGGCAGAGCTGATAGTGATGATGAGGATAACAATAGTGGTAAATATCATATATTTGTTAAATGTGTTTTCACATCCATTGCTCATCAACTTTTTTTTACCAAATTCTATGAGGGTGTGGATGGGGGTTTACAGAATAGAGAATAATGGGCAAAAAATATCAAGAATAGAGAAAAATGGACCAACAAAATAAAGAATAGAGAATAATGAGATGCTAAAATATAAAGAATAGAGAATGAAGGGCAAAAGTATAAATAATAGAGAAAAATAGTCTAAAAATTAAAGAATACAGAAATGAATTTCAAACCTGTAAAAAAAGGAATTATTATTGCTGATTATAAATGCAAGAGCTGGTTGTTGAACAAGCATGTATTGAGTGCCTTCTATGGGCATATTTCAAAGTAAATAATTTACTATTAATATTTTAGTCATAATATTATGCAGGAAGTAAAAAACTTTAGAAACATACATATTCAGAATAAATAGTGCAACTGGTTTTTAATGATTACAAATTACAATTCAGAATGTTGTGTTATCTGCTGCTACATATACGGTCGATATGATCTCCTTTTCCAGAGTAAACTATTTGTTATGTCATTTCACAATAGAAAATACTGAACTTGTTGTTTTCTATCAAAAAGTTGAATGTTAATTTACTTCTCTTCTTTTAGAACATGATGATCCACATTGTTTAATAGTTTTACTGGAAGAAGAATTGATTGTAATAGATTTAGATTCTTCTCAATGGCCAACTTTCCAGAATCCATACCTCAACAGCTTACATTCTTCACCAATTACATGCTCCCATCATGTCGCCAATGTTCCTGATCCACTCTGGCAGAAAATTGTTGATGTTGGAGAATCTCAAGCTAAAAACCATTCAAAAAGGGTATGTAAAAAATTGTTTATCACAGTTCAATATTACTGTGGTATGCTTTTGATAGGATGGACTACAGCTGTACCTGAATACAATTAGCAGTTATTCTATTATCTATATAATGTGGTTAAACCTCACAATATTTGATCATTTCTCATTGAAATGTGTGTTTTGTTTTTTTTTTAATTTAGTCACATAACATGTTACATAAAAAAATTATGCCAAAACACAATTTTATAGATACATGAAACATGTTTATAGTTAAATGCCCACATGATGGCATTTTCAACATGCTGTGACTTTATAAAACCTTGCTTTGAGTAGCCAGACAGTTTTTTACGTCTTTATAGGAATGGCCAATAAATGGAGGTAAACTAAAAGGAGCTGAAGGAATAACTAAAGATTTATTACTCACAGGGTAGGTAGAATTATTATAGAGAAATCTCAATGGATTCAGAAATCAATGGTAGATTTAGGCAGTGTGACAAAACCGTTGAAATTTAATTTTTGCAATAAAATATGTCCAAAAGAATGTTGTCTTGATCAGCTCCCTCTAACCTCTAATCCTGGAAATACAGTATGCTGTAGCAAATTCTTACTTGTTGTTTCCATAAAAAACTACTTTTAGATTATAATTTTCAGTTTAGTTGTCACTACTAATAAAAGTAAACTCACTTTCAATATAAAAATTTTACAGCTTGGTTTTATGGAAGGACATATCAAGGACTCTTGGCACAGCTGTTTACTATATATTAGTATATTTTGATAAAATATTTGGAAGATACATTTTCTTTGGAATAATTTGCTTGTAGAAATACTGTCAGGACTTTTCTAGGGGAAAAATTAAGGGTTTTTTGTGGCTTGGAATGCACTGATTTTGAATGAAATTGCACGAGTGGTTGGTTTTGAAAAAAACTGCCTGTCAACTCCATTATATTGTTGTTCTTGAATAACTCTTTAAGAAAATGTATATATTAATTTTTTTACAGGGAAGTAAATAATCATGTTACTTTTCATTATTGTCAATACCTTGAAATAATGAATTTTTATATGGTCTTTTATTTTTATGACAGACATGAGGATGGTACAGTAAAGTTCTGGGATGCTTCAGGACTATCTATGAAATTGTTGTACTCATTGTCAACAGCTACCATGTTCAGTGTGGACTTCCATCCCGGAGAACAGAGCTCTCCTGAAGTGGAAGAAGAATGGCCACCATTCAGAAAAGTAAGGTTACATAATAGATGGGTTAATCATTTAAAAGAGATAAGGGGTAATATTTTAGATACAGCAATCCAGTAACAAAGTATACAGACATTAAAGATATGTTCATTCATTGATTTTTAGTAACAAGAAAATTGCCAACCAATTTCTACCATGGATACTTGCATAATTTTTACATTTCTCAATTGAATTGGTAAGTAACTTGAAGGAATAAAGAACACATCAACAAAAAACATGATTTTTTTTTGCCGTAGTGGAGGGGGCATAAAGTTTTATCCTTGTCCGTCTGTACTTACGTACGTCCGTACATCCCTAAGTTGGTTTCCATTCTCTAACTTTAGTTTTTCTCAACCAAATGTTATGAAACTTATACACAATGCTAATTACCACAAAATACAGATCAAGTTTTGAATTTTGGTTGTGTCACTTTTACTGTTCTAGAGTTATGCCCCTTTACAAATGGAAAAATTGCTGAATTTTTCGTTTCCGTTCTGTAACTTAAGTTTGCCTCAACCAAATTTTATGAAACTTATACACAATACTTATTACCACAAAACTTTATATGATATGCAAGCGGGGGCATCATCTGTGTCCCATGGACACTTTACCCATTTATCTCTCTTTGTTATCTTTTTGAGAAAGAATTGATAGATAAAAAAAAAATTGCCAAAATTAAACTAAATTATCTAGAAAAGTAAGTCCAACAGCAATCCTAATGCATAATAAAACCAGTCAGTTTTAGTTCTAATGCAGGTTCTACTGCATCAATATATAAAATAAAGAGGGGGAGGGGAGGATGTTGACCAGAAGAATTATACATTTTGTAGGTCGTTATAGGTGGTCTTGTTTAAGTTAATAGGATCCCGCACATTTGAAAGTCGCTGGACATGAAGCAGCCATCAATCAACACATATAGTTTTTGTCAAACCTGCGACTTCTGTCACAGAAAGATCGACATAGGGATAGTGATCAGGCGGCGGCGTTAACTAACTACTTAAAAGCTTTATATTTTAGTAGGTGGAAGCCCTGGATGTTTCATGCTTTGTATAGTTTTCGTCTGTCATATGTTCATTGTCCTTGACCTCATTTCCATGGTTCAGTGACTACTTGAAAAAAAAGTCAAAAAATTTTTGTAATGTTAATTTCTCTCTTATTATTAGTAATAGGATAACTATATTTTGTATGTGTGTACCTTGCAAGGTCCTCATGTCAGTCTGACAGGTTTTATTTGACCTTGACCTCATTTTCACAGTTCATTGCTCAGTGTTGAGTTTTTGTCTGTTTTTATTAAACTATAAGCAATAGGTCAGCTATTTTTGGTGTATGGAATGATTGTAAGGTGTAAATGTTTGTCTGGCAGGTATCATCTCACCTTGACCTCATTTTCATGGTTCATTGGTCAATGTTCAGTTTTCATGATTAAGTTTGTTTCTTAGATACTATAAGCAATAGGTTAACTATATTTAATGCATAGATTGATTGTAAGGTGTACATGTTTGTCTGGCATGGTTTATCTGACATTGACCTCATTTTCATAGTTCATTGGTCAATGTTAAGTTTTCCTGGTTAAGTTTATTTCTTAAAAACTATAAGCAAAAGTTCAACTATATTTGGTGTATGGAATGGTTGTAAGGTGTATGTGTATTTCCGGTTTGGTTTATCTGACCTTGACCTCATTTTCTTGGATCATGTTATGTTTATGTGATACTTGTAGTAAAGCTTTATATTTAGGACTATCAACATAAAATCAATGGTCAGTAAAACAGGCGAGACATTTCAGCGTTCGCACTCTTGTTGAGAATATTTTCTCTCTATTTCCACCTATTTCTTTGTAAAGACTGATATTCCAATTGTGTATGCTAATGATCTCTGACTTAAAAAAATTCACCATGAGCAAAGTGTTACTAGTTTTGAATGTATAGAAGACTATTGATTGGACAATTAAAACAAAAGATCCAGGTTGGAATAGGGCATGTGTTCTCATCTCCCACTTGGAATGTAAATTTATGGATAAACCAAAAGAATGTGTATGTAAATGTAATATACCTAAATTTTTTCTTGAATTTAAAATTAAAGATCACTGTTTTCAGGTTGGAATATATGACCCATTCAGTGATGATCCTAGATTAGGCATTCAGAAAATATCCATGTGCCCTCTGAGTGAAACTTGTGTGATAGCAGGAACTGCTGGCCAAGTTTTGGTGTTACAGATGGAAAGAGAAGAACGTGAATATGAAACATCAAGCGATACTATGAACATTGTTAGTGATCGTGATAATTTTGTGTGGAAAGGACATGAAGCACTGAAACCACGGGATGGTGAAGTAAAGTATGCTGCAGGATTCCAGCCAACAGCTGTAATTCAGTTATATCCACCAGCGGCTTGCACAGCTTTGGCTTTCCATTCAGAATGGCAGTTGTAAGTTTGAATAATACAGAAAATATTATAGGTCTTTCATTGTCATTCTTTTTAAGTGAATGTTGATTTTATTTGATATGGTTTTAACTGTTTCCATTCGGAAATTCTAATTGAAAGTTTTCTCCACAATTAACTCAGATTCGACCAAAACTTGATCAGAATAGACACACAGGTTCTGATTTTAAAAAAAAAGTTTTTAAGTGCTGTATGATATTACATACTTTAAAATGGTGCTTCTTATCTTGTTTTCTTTAAAGAATGGCAGCTGGAACAGCCCATGGCTTTGCATTATTTGATTATGCTCAAAAGAAACCAGTAGCAACCAGATGTACCCTAAATCCAGATGGTAAGTTATAACGATTAACAAAACTAATCTGTATGTTTATGAGCAAGCACTCTCTCTCTCATCGTGACAGAAAGATAGATTTTACATGTAACCAACAAAGTTTCTATTTTCAATAGAAAGTAGGGTACAACTTCAGAATTATTCCTTCCATGATAAAAATTAAACAACTAATTCTGATATAGAAAATGGAATTGAAATTACACAAAAAGGCTACAAAATGATTAAATATTTTTTTTAATAGAAATAAAACACAGAAAAGTCAGGCTTATGATATTAAGAGACAAAATGATTTTGTTTTTATTTTTAAGATCTCTTGTGATTTTAGTGATACTGCTACCGTATAAGATGTGGCATTGAAGCAAGAATAAATTACATTACACATTTTTAAAGTAGAATATTTGTTTTTGTTATATATATGTTTATATTTTTATTTCAGACATGACAGGAACATCAGAAACACCTATGTCTAGAAGGAAATCTTTAAAGAAATCACTGCGAGAATCATTCCGTAGATTGAGGAGGAGGAGATCAGAAAGAAGACAAGATAAAGCTAAACCTGAACAAAAAACGTAAGCTTATGAATCATTTTGTAGAGTTAAGTTTAATTGTATTTATATAGTTAAACTGTTTTTGAAAAGTCAGATTGTTTTAGCAACTATTTTAAAACAGGATTTTTGTCTGACTTAATACTGCTGTTTTGGTCAATAATAATAAATTGACACAATGTTAAAATCTGCCATCAATCAATTATATCCTGAAGTCTGAATGATTTGCCAAAGGAAAATAAGCTACAAATAATCAAGAAATCTTTGATATTTACTAAAAAGTACTAGGTTTCTCATTTATTTTCCTATTTTGACCATCTGAGTAAAATAAAGGACAAATTGGCCATTTGTCTTCAAACAAAGTTATTCCCTCATCCTTTTTTATCGATTCTGGTAGAAAGGCAGAGATCTGAATTAGTCTATAAATGAATTACTTTTTCATCTGTGGCATTTATAAATAGAACTTCTTAGAATTATTAGACAAAGTGTTATATAGATCATAAAAGTTTTAAATAATAAGGATCCTACACCAATGAACTATTTTCTGAAGTACAAAGAATACCAGATTACCTTTAATATATTTTGACACTTTTTTGAAAGGTTAATGGTTAGAAAACTTGATGTGAAGTTTCCTTTTATGCGGTCACATTGTAATAAAATTTATAACACCTTAAATACAACACTTTTTTATAGGCCGGTTATTGACACTCAATGATACAGAAATTTTAAAAGCCTGGCTCTCAAATGTTAAACTCTTCAAACATTAAAAATCCATTTATCACCTTAAGTTTATTTAACCATGAAAACAAGCATTTCATAAGTGAAGTAGATTTTAGTTTACTTGAATGGAGAGTTGTCTCATTGGCACTCATACCACATCTTCTTATATCTATTAATAATTATTTATTACATTTCAGTGATGAAAAAGAAAAGAAATCAGATGAAGGAAGTTCATCACCATCTAAAAGTAGAGCCTCCCCTGGAGCTTCACCAGAACCACGCCCTGTAGAAAGACAAATAGAAGCTAGAAATCCAGAGGAAACCATAGGGTCTATGGTTAGGTGTTTATATTTCGCAAATACTTTCGTAACAAATGGTAAGTACTTGTAAAATGCATTTTGTTCATGACATAGTGTTGTCACTGTACTTGTTGATATGTGAAGAAATTTCTTGTTTTAAAGTAGAAGATGGCAAAAATAATTAATCTAAGACAATGCAGTAATTCCTTGTTCACTTAATAGGAAGATGAGTTTAAAGTCTATAACTTTCCAGAAGAGTGTTAATAATAATTAGCTCTTTCAGAAAAGGTGTATTTACCAGTAAAAAAGGAAAGAAAAATATTAAAAAAACTATCAAGAAACTAGTTTTATCAAATGAAGAGATTTGAAAGAATTTGTATTACATTATTCTAGCTTTAACTAAAAATTGTTCTTTGAAATGTTTAACTGTATTTCACTGCAAAAATCATTAAATAAGAAATAAATAATTGTCTACCTGATAGAAAATTTTAAAGTATGTAACAGCAAACAGTTCCAAAGATATATTCTGTATTCCCTATAACTTTCTAAATTTTGAGGTGGTAAAGAATGAATTATGCATGAAGTAAGAATCAAGACTATGCAGATATTATCATTATAGTAAATTTCATCAACAGGTACAGATAGTGCTCCATCATTATGGGTAGGAACAAATGGCGGACATGTTTATATTTATACAATGACAGTTCCAACAGAGAAAAGAAATGAATCAGATGTGATAGCAATTATTGCTAAGGAAATTAAATTAAGACATAAAGCTCCTGTAATACATATTGCTGTTGTGGACGGTAAATCTCGTGTCATACCAGATGCACTGGAAGTTGAGAATGAACGAGCTAAGGCTGCAGATTACTCAGGAGCACATCATACAGTAATAATTTGTTCTGAAGAACAACTTAAAGTAAGACTTTCATTACACATTATTTTTCTAATAAGTTAAAAATGCAGCTTCATGGTTCTTGTATAGTATGGTAGGATTATTGTACATGTATAATCTTATTGTAACAATACAGTCCAACCTTGTTGTGTCGAAAAGTCCAGGTATTTTGTCTGTTGATTCAAAGTCCTTGTTAACTCCAGTATATTTAGAAGTCCCCTCGAAGAAAAATGATCATAAGGTTACTCCAACTGATCAAACGTTTGTTGTAAGATTAATACTTGACCTCAGCAGATTGCTGCTAAGGAGCAAGTTAAAAATTTGTACATCTGTATTTTATATTTGCTTATCTTTGTAAACATCAGCTGTGAACTGTCTATTCTGTCTCGTTTATTGTCTCGCCTTGACGGAGTCAAAAAGCCAGACACAGGTATGCTGTTTCAGCGGCGGCGGCATCAACAATGTATTAGTTTGTGATTAGGTCTAGTTAATGGTGAACTACTAGTGGTAGGTCAATGATATTTGGTATGCAGTTGTATAAGCATTGGCATATCTCATTTACATGGAGATTATGACCCCGCCCCCTCAGTCATGGTTTATTGACTTTGAAACTTTTTCTTTGTTTTCATGTATTAGTTTGTGATTAGGTCAGTTTATGGGGAACCGTTAGTGGAAGGTTGATGATAATTTGTATGCAGTTGTATAAGCATTAGCACATGTCATTTCCATGGAGAATATTTGGTCCTTACCCCTCAGTCATGGTCTATTGTCTTTGAAACTTTTTCTTTGTTTTCATGTATTAGTTTGTGATTAGGTCAGTTTATGGGGAACCGTTAGTGGAAGGTTGATGATAATTTGTATGCAGTTGTATAAGCATTAGCACATGTCATTTCCATGGAGAATATTTGGTCCTTACCCCTCAGTCATGGTCTATTGACTTTGAAACTTTTGCTTAATTTTCATGTATTAGTTTATGATTAGATCAGTTTTAGATGAACCTCTAATGTTAAGTCAATGATATTTGGTATGCAAAAGTTTCATATCCATGGAGATTATATAACCCCACCCCCTCATTATGGTACATTGACTTTGAAACTTTTACATAGTTTACAAGTTAATGTTTGTGTTTAGGTTTGTTTAAAGGGAACGACTTATGAAAAGTCAATGGTATTTGGTATGCAGTTGGTAAGCATTGGCACATCTCATTTCCTTGGAGATTGTTTATCCCTGTACCTTCAGTCATGGTTCATTGAACTTTGAATATTTGCATAACTTACATGTTAAAGTATTGCTATTTTAATTTCAACATTTGCATTATCAAAATAACAAATAGGCGAGACATATCTCTGTGTTAATAGTTTATTATGAAATAAATCATTATACCCCCGCTTTAAAAAAGTGGGGTATACTGTTTTACCTCTGTCTGTCTGTCCATCCGTCAGTCCTTCAAGTCCGTCCTTCCGTCCCATGAATATTTTTCTCAGGAACTACATTACAAGGATTTCTGAAATCTGGTTTCAGGGTTTATATAAGTCAGCTTTACCGTGTGATGCATTTTCAGATTCATCACTTGACAACTTCCTGTTTACCGAACACTTACATATTTTTACACTATTAAAATTATCCATTTGTGGCGGGGGTATCATCAGTGAGCAGTAGCTCGCAGTTTCACTTGTTTTATACTGCATGACGATGCATATGGTTTGGGATACTAAATATGTTTTCTGCCATTACATATGCTGACAACACAAGGTACAATATTGAAATGGTACAATCTGATGTACTTTCAACTTTGGATGAGTCGAATAGTTATGTCAGGTCACTTCGACTTATCATGGTTCGACTGTATTTGATAAACACACAAATGAATTCTTTCTTTGTTACCCTTTGTAGGCATTGATGAGGTATTCTATTAGAGAACAATGATTTGTACATACTAATTTGGATATGCTCAATCATCAGGTAATATTCACCTTCTTAAACTTATTAAAAATTTCTTTTTTTTCTCTCTCTTTTCAGATTTTTACATTACCACATTTGAAGGCTAAATTAAAGTACAAAGTAACAGCTTTAGATGGTTCTAGAATTAGAAAAGTAGCTTTTATTAATTTTAGGAGTAAAAGTGGTAAGTTTCTTTGACTGTGATATGAAGGTTGGCATATAAGACAATAGTTCTATGTTCAGCACAATAATATACTCTCTGAAATTTAGAAATTACCATGGACATGATGGAGGAAAGTCCCTAGAATGAGCTGGATTTCTGAAAGTTTTCAGATATATTTGAATTTCACTCACTTCATTACTTTCTCAGGTGAAAGTGATAATTTGACATTAGAATAGGCTGCATATGATCTCACTTTCTGTATTGACTGATACTGTTTGATATTTTTTTGGTGTTTAATAACCATGGACACACACCAAAAAAATAGAAAGGAAAGCAATAAAAAAGAAACAAAATGTCTCGCAGTTCTGATAAATGTTTATCACAATCCAATATATTCACATTGTCAGAGAGTGAAAATAGAATTCTTGGTTTTTTGTCTTAAGAATTTTGTGAAAGTCAAAACTTAAGTTTTTGAGGTTAACTTGAAATTTCCTGGAAAAAAAATCAATAATTTTATTTATTGATATATCTTTACATTTGCAGACATGCTTCTGTAATCGATTTATGAAAATATAATTTGAATTATATATTTGCATCGTTTTGATTTTGCAGTCTGAAAATCTACTTTAAGTTAAATGTAAAATTATAAATTTTCAATTGAGGGGCTCGGTGGCCAAGTGGTCTAAGTAGTCAAACTACTGTATCACTAGCCTGTCAACACTGAGGATGTGAGTTCGAATCCCGTGGCAGGCGCGGTCGACTCCAACCTTAATTGACTAGGATTGTCAGTTTTCCTACTGATGGTCGGTTGTTCTCTCCGGGCATTCCGGCTTCCTCCACCAATAAAAACTGACCGCCACGAAATTGCACAATAGTGTTGAAAGTGGCGTAAAACACCAATAAATAAATAATAAAAAAAATTTCAATTGCAGAATATAAGTAATCTGTGGATTCAGGCTTCAATCCATTGAATGTGTTGTGCATTATTTTTAAAGTTATGAAATTAAGTGATCTGGGATGTGTAGTATATGAAGGCCATTTGATTTGTTAATTTGATATTTTTATAGAAATATTACAATGGTTTTATGTTTTTTTTTAAATTTCAGATGAAAATTATAATGAATTTGACATCGCCTGTTTAACCAATTTAGGAGATTTAAGTGTACATACTGTTAATTCATTAAGGCAGCAATTAGTAGCATCAGCTCTAAAAAGAGAAGACATAACGTAAGTGATTATTATGTGAACAAATAAACTACAACAAGGAATTCTCTATGAAAGGCAGACTGATATTTTACCACCATAAAAAGTCTTGAAAATTTGTAAAAAATACAGAAAGTTCTAACAATATCGGGATTCATATTGGGTGTCTGTCTGGAAAAGCATTTTTGTTATCCACACTCCAATGGAAAAGAGGGCGATGGTATAATATTTTCTGTCACATTTTTCTCAGCAACTACAATTCATAGCTTCATGATATATGGCACCAAGCTTCATTTGGTTATGACTTACCATGTGACATGTTTTTATTTCCTTTCATTCTTTTAATTCCCATTTGCTGAAAACTTGTATCTTTTAAAATGTCATCCACACAAATGAAATTTTTGTCACATTATTCTCACCAACTACAAGTCATAACTTCTTGAAATATGCAGTGTTACAACAAACAATATTTCCCTGTACATTTTGTGTTGAATAGGCTCTAAAATTGTTTTCTTTTAAAGCTGTTGTGTATTGAGTATCCTTGAAAAGTCACCAAATTTCAATGTGAATAATTCTGAAAAATATAGACATTCTTGAAATAAATAAAATGATTCTTCAGGCACATCTAGACTTTGCACATTGTCACATTGAATATATATTGTGTCATTGAAGATTTAAAAAATTTTCCTTAAAAAAAACCACTCAGGGCTCATACCACTTCAGAATCAGTAGGTGAAGTCAATTCTCTTTTTGAAACTGACCGAGAGAAGTGATGGTATTTTTGTTTACTTTTGGATCAGGATTAAAAAGAAAATGTTGTTTCTTTAGAGAATGATATGATGTGAATTATTAAGTAATATTTAATTTTGCCTTTCAGAGGAATTTCATCATTCATTTTTACCAAGCATGGTCAGGGATTTTACTTATTATCATCATCAGAGTATGCAAGAGTGACATTGTCATCACGGAATGTTACAGAACCAAACTGTACGGTAGAACTGAAAGACGGCATGAGACCAGAGCCAGAACCTGAACCTGAAGTTGTTGTTGAACCTCAGAAGGAAGAGGCTGAGGAGAAAAAAGAGTATGTGAAAAATTCAAAGCTTGCATGCTCTGTACACAAGAAAATATAAATATTTGGAAATAGTATAAGTGCTTACCAATATATTCATGTAAATCTAAAAAATATAACAAAAAAAGCACTTGATAGTAAAAATTTAAGTGGTCAGTTTTTTGTTGTTGTTAAAGATAACTGATGCATTTTTTTATCCATTAAAACATAAAAAAAAACATTTTGTATAAAGAAAAATACTGATAAAAATGTGAAATTAAAAAAAAATCAAGGAAATAAAAAAGAAGCATATTTTCTGTTAACAGAGAAGAAGGTGGTCTAACCCCAGACGATCGGTATAATAGTGGAGATATTGCCGAAGCTTTGAATGAATCACAGTTGAACGACTCACAAGCCAACACAACCGTTGAAGGGGAAGTAACACAAGACAGCATACAAGTGTTAGTATTAAACCATTAATGCACAGGTTTAAATGCAGAAATTCTCAGACAATAAGTGATTTATCTTCAGAAGGAAATTGATATATTTGGAAATTAAAACGAGGGGAAATACTAAATGACTGCAACATTTTAAAATATTTATGGTTTTTACATTTTAATGGTTTTATTTTTTAATTAAGATTCAAAGACTTTTTTATTGACAAATGTTTTTCAAATCTGTGTAGTATTTAAACATTTTGAGTGCAGTTTTTGTAAGTTATTTGAATTTTTGAAAATTTTATACTAGGAGTGAAAAAAAAATATTTGAGAATTGAGCTTGACATTTAAAGACTTGAAAAGGTTTTAAACACTTAATACTTCTGAAATGTAAATTTACTGGTCTGGCTAATAAAAATCATTATTATGTAGTCTTGTGATACTTACCTAACATAATGTTTATACTTTTGTTGATTTAAGTTTTTTATTAAATCACAAATTATATGTAATAGCATGCTTTTGTTGGCAGTCATTATTGGATTTTTTCCCCCCTTTGTAGGTTACAAGAGCGCAATTATTTGTTTATATTTTACCGGCAAGTTTTTTACCACAAGATGGTACTCAGAATAGAATCCTGTACGGCTTCTGATTGGATGATACAGAATTGGAATTACTTTTAATCGAAAGCTTATCCTATTAGGTTTTAAAAATCCAGAAAATCAAATTCACATTTTGCAAAGTATAGAAAATATCTTCCATTTCTGCACGTCAGGGCCATTAAAAATATGCCTTTTTCATTAAGCGAAAAAAATAGAAGATCTTTTTCAACTGCATTTTAAGTCAATTTTTGCCGCATGACCATATATATTTTTTTGGTTGTCATGCAACACTGGCATTTCTAGTAACAGGAACTGCTACCTGTTTTTCCCTAGTTTGTGTAGTCTTCGAGAAAAAAAATACGGAACACCACTGGTACCCTATGGAAAATGCATTACGAATAATTGTGCTCTTGTAAGGAAATTTTTATTAATATATCATTGGATTACTCCCCTTCCCACATTTTGGTGATGGATGTAGTTAATTACCTTTGCTTGAAACACCACTTCCCCTTTTGTAAAGAGGACAATACTAACATTTTTGTTTGCTAAGATTTAAATTCCTAATGAATTGGTAGACTACTACATGATTCCTGGTGTATTAAATATATAGAATAAATGTATTGCTTTAGTGATGCATATTGGTGGTAGAACTAACATATGTGTGATTCATTCGCTTCTGCAATTACTTTGCTTATTGTTTATTATTCTTAAATACAATCTGCTTTTTAATGAAATATTTACCAGGCATGTTTAAAATAAAAGTGTTTTATATTCAGCATCTGAAGAAAGGCAACATATCTTTGTATACTTAATTTTCTATAATTATATTTTTACTTGGGCCAAATAAAAATATATGTGTGGTTCCAGTTACATCCATTAAAAAAAAAATAGGTTGTTAGGTTCAAATTTTTTAATTTTTTTTTTAATGCATTGTTTAAATTCGGGGGGAATCTTGTTTTCACTGAATCTGGTTCCGTTATTGTATATGCCCCTACTGGAATTTGGCCATTGTCTGTTTGGTTGTAAAAATAAACAGATGTTTTACATTTTTAGTTAATTTTGTTGCATACTGTTAACAATTTTTTTGATTTTTTAGTCGTAGTGCATACTTCTAATGGAAATGCAGAAGACAGAAGTCTGAATTTTATTAATGAAGTTTACATTCCACAAAATGGGATTGTTCAAAATTTATTTTTAAGAAATGCAAAAAAGGTCTAGGGTTGGTCAGGTAACTGGAACATCACATATATTTTTATTTGGCCTTAGGTTTTGTTGATTTTGAAAAATCTTTCATTAGAAATTTATCTAAAGATGTAGGTCAAAAATTCATTTGTATGGCAGCACCAACCCAGCTCTTTACTTATAAGAAAAATAATGTAAGATATGTAACATTTTTCACAATTTGGGTTAGATATTATTGTGATAATATTTTGCATTTGGCATTTTGTCAAAATTAGCTCAAAACATTGATAAAGTGTTATTGGCTTGCCAAAAATTAGTCTTATACAGGTTATGATGTAAACGATAAACATTTAATTACATTTTTTATCAATGAAATGAGATCAAATTGAACTAAGAAAATCAAGTTGTTATTTTTATACGCCCGTTTACGGGATGTATTTTTGTATACTGTTGTCTGTCCGTCCGTTGTCAACATGTTGGACAATAACTCGAAAACCCTTTAACCAATTTGCATGAAACTTTGATGAATTGTTTATATATCTCTTAAAGTGAGCTCCCTTTTGATTTTCCAGTTTTCAGACAATAACTCAAAACTGATTTGAGCAGTTTTCATGAAACTTTGGTGAATTGCGATTTTTATAAATTATAGATTTAAGTTTCCGAGTTATGGGTTTTATTCATTAAAAAAAGGTGATTTTCCAGTTTTAGGACAATAACTTAAAAGTGCTTTGAGCAATTTTCATGAAACTTTGGAGACTGCTTTATATCTATTAGAATAACCTCCCTTTAGTTTTTTATAAATTTCTTAATGACATTAAGGAGTTGTGGAACTTTATTCTTTGAAAAAGCGATGGGCGTATCATGCACTCATGGCGCAGCTCTTTATTAATCTTTGTTTTGAAGGAAAAAATTGCTGCAGAATGGGTCAGAAAATTTAATTTCTGGCTGTAAATTGTATAGCATCAACTAGAGTATTCATAAATTACATCTCAACCAATCAGAATGTGCAAAATAATGTTCCCATAATACAAGTCACAAATTACATCTCAATTAATCAGAATGTTCAAACTGATGATGTTCCCATCATGCAAAAGCATTTCTCATTGGGTTATTCACAAAATTAAAAGCTTGGTATCTTCGATGAGTTCTTTTTTTCTTACTTATATTATTGAATACAGTTGAATTTTTTTTTTTAAAAGAACATATTTTTATCTTTAGACTACAGGATAGTTCAGTGGTAGAATCAACAACATTAATCACTACATCTGAGACAACAGTAGTTACAACAACAGAGGAGACAGTAACACACACAGTAACAGCTGGTGGGGATGGTCCAGGTGGGTTAATCACTTTTACATGTTTGTTTTGTGGTATTACTTTTTAGCTTTCCTTATATCCTTGGTTATATATGCTTTCAACTAAATATCTTGCAGTAGCTGTTGAATTGTAAGCAATTATGTAAATTTATACTGTAACTATTTTGATATACAGAACTTTTAAATTTTGGATTTATATACTAAAAGATTTATTTTTCAAAATTTTACATGGCTATGTTTACTGCACGAATTTTAGAAAAGAAATTTTTTGTCAAACTATTCTTTGCATTTAGTTGTTAAAGCCTCAACCTTTTCATGCATTAAAAACATCACACCACATCTTTACAATTTCAACAGCATGACCTTAATGCTCTTGTCTATTGCACGGTAATAAGTCTTAAGGTATACTCAAAACTCTCAATAACTGGAATCAATATTATAGAAAGCTAAGTTAAATATTATGATGTATATTTAGAACCTTTGCATGTCAGTAATTCTTGAGAAAGGAAGACTTGGAAACACTATAGTCATTGCAATTTCTTATTCCATTGAGCATGCTAGCAACTGTTGGAATATTCTAAAATTTTCTATACATGCTAAGGAAGAGCATGCTAAGCAATAGTTAAATTATCTCCAGTTACTAAAGCCTGCTCGAATAGAGCATGCTATTCTGTTGCTAAATCATTACCATTTTGATTTCTTTTATATCTTTTTCGAAAACAAGTCTTTAGCTTATTTCATTATGTTAATGTTTTTTTATTTATGTTGTCCCAACAGAATCAGTCAATATTGATGATGACACGAAATCTACACAGCCGATTGTTACTACTACAACACAGGTGAGAAGAGGGACAACTCTTGTGGCAAACCTTTCTGGTGGTAGAACTTCTTAATATCTGAAATTCTGCTGTAATCTCTCAATATTTATGTACCTTTTAGATGTCCTAACTTTTTTTATTTGTTCATTTTCATGTTTAGTTTGCAGTGAGTTAATGCTTTAATAGTATACTTGTCCTCAGTTTGCATCTGTCCATGTATAAACTAAAAATCATAAAAATATGTAAAGCTAGTTATTAAGCATACATATTGGTATCAGACTAATCATGAATTTGTCCACCATATAAGCAAGTTAAATTTTTTTTTTTAATATAGAACAGTGTTATATTGTTGTGAGTTTAAATTTTGTTTTTTGAAAAAAAGATTTTCTGAAATATTGAAGATATTCTATTGAAATGAAATGTGATCACTTTAAAGCTCAATGTTGTTCTTTCAAATCTGAAAGGAGTGTCTTAAGAGAGTATGTCACTCTTCCACCGCATATTTCATTGTAAGACAAGATTTTCACTTTTATAAATATAAACAGTATATATACATAAACTAGGAAATTTATATATACATTCTACCACTGCAGCAAGTATGATACAGTATTACTCACCTCGAGACACTTAAATTTTTATACTTAAGGCTTGCTGAGCTTTTTAAATATTAAAATTTTAGGTGTCAAGAGTGGAGAAATATCGTATTGCCCGAGATGTGGAATCTGTTTCTCCAATGATTTTAAAATATGGAGACAAAATTTATCTTTCTTTTTTTAATGATCTGCCAATAGATGTGTTCTTACCATGTGACGTCATCAGGCATGGTCGCCTTTTTTTCACGACGTCACAATAGAAATTTCAGAAGAAAGCAAGAAAATTTGATGTCATCATTGAATTTGAACTTATGAGGAACTAAGATCAAACAAACCACACATTGTATAAAAAAGAATAATAATCAACCACCTCTCTAGAAAAGTATAAATTGGTTAAGAATTGAAAAAAAAAAATTTATTACCATTATTATGTATTTTACATATTTAATCCATTACTGCAATTTGATAATCCTTTACATGCTTAAGCTTTGCCAACAAATGCCTATAAATTTTGTTGTCTATGTTCAGTTGGTATTTTATGGCAGATCTCTTTCATAGATCTTATATCTGTTCCATACATGCTTCACATTACTCCACTTAATATTTGTGGAGTATTACATGGTATGGGAGTGAACAAATATGAAGTCTTAGTCGAAAACAATGAAAGTGCTATTTAAACATATTAAAAAAAGGTTGCAGTTTGAAATTCAAAATATTTGGGGTTGGAAATATGGCAAAATACATTTCATTGTACAAAATTCATGCAGACTTTCAAACATAGCTTAAGTAAATAATTTAACAATATGTAATGCACAGGTTTCACTGTAGATTTTTTTTTTGTTACAGGTAATAACTGATGTAAATGAAGTTCATGATAAAATAATTGAATTGAAGATAACAGAAGATGATGCCGCTCTTGCAAAGAAAAATCTACAAGATGCAGAACAGGTGATTTCAACCGAGGCTCCAGTTGTCAGTTAGACTGTAATGCTAAGGCTTGCCTGTAAACATGGGGCCAACGATAAAATGGCAATAATTCACACTTATATTGTGGACAATTAGGAAGAGAAATTTAAGTATCACGGACTATCTATGTTTAAGTTGTGCTTAAGCTTGTTTAAAAGGACATTTTTGACTATTGTCAAGTTATTTTAAGAATCATTCCAAGATTATTATACTTATTTATGAAACTGCAACTGCTACTGTGTAATGTGAAATAGTGTGATTTTTTTTGTCAGATGTTAAATGCTTAGCCTGGTTTTTTGTCAGTGTTATTAAAAAGTGTACATAGAAAAGTATGACACCTACATGTACTAAGTACTGCTTGGAGGAAGATATTTGGTTTAGATACTATTTTATATTTGTCTTCCAAGTTCAACTGCATAATAAGTAGAAAAGAAAGATGTTTAAATTTTGTTATCTTAGATTTTTACATTATTTAGACATTTTATTGGGATAGGGATTTACTTGTGGTTGTGGTGTTTTTTTGTCAAGATTGAAACCAATAAATTTTTTTTTTCAAACTAGTGCAATGTAGTATAGAATTTTTTAAAATCTTTTTTATTCCAAGCTTATTCTCAGACATACATACACATTTTTATAGGCATTACAAAGTACAGGCAAATTATTGCTGTTTTCTTTACCATGGAAATAATAAGAAGAAAATATAAATTGACCTTTAAGGCATTATCATGTATTTTGTGTAATAATTATTTTATGATCGTAAAGTATGTATTAAAAAATAATAAATTTATTAAATAAGATTTGTAAGCTACTTTAATATTACCAAAATTGAATTAGTACTGAATGACTATTCATTATAATTATTTAATAATAATAAAGGTTGTACTTTCAATAATTTATATGATTATATCTTGTTTGTAAATCTTCGTTACATCAGTTCAAAAGTTTCAGTATTAAAATGAAAAGTTTTTGAGCATACAAAGCAGGACTGCATTATAGATTAATGAGATTTGAACACTGGTAAATTATCATTCAATTTGCCTCTTATTTAGTAGAGTGTAGAGCTTTTGTAAAAATGAAGAATAATTTTTACATTTGTGAAATGTTTGTATTGATGTTTTTGATGAAATAGGTTGTGTACCAATTTAATAGTTATTTTAATCTATTTGCTAAAACTAGATTTTTAAAAAATCATGTGATTAAGAATTTTATATTTTTAATTGCTTCAGTACTGTTTCCTATGCATTTTATGATAGCTTTTTGTCTGTGTTAAGTTGAGAACTACATGTTTTATGTGCCTGTCTAAATATATGGTTGTTTCTTGTTGAAGTAGTGCAAAGAACAATTTTTTGAAATTTTATGCATATTTCAGAAGAAAATGAAAACAGAAGAAAAATTATGATTCATATTTTTGTGATACATTATTAGATTAAGTTGACCATCATTTTAGACCAAAGAAAGCTATAGAGCTTTTAATGATCCATCCATTTTATTTTCATAAAGCTTTTTTCATGATGTGTATCATGTACATGATATTGTATAGAAACATCTCACTACTAATAAAATGTATAAATTGTTTCAGTTTTCATTTCTTGTGTCTTTAAAATAAAGCATCAAAGATACCAGGCTATAATTTAGTACACAAGATGTGTGTTTCGTCTACAAAATGCTCATTAGTGACGCTCGAATAAAAAAGTTAATAAAAGATCAAATCAAGTACAAAATTGAAGAGCATTAAGGACCTAAAATTTCAAAAGGTTTTGCCAAATACAGCTTATGTGATCTATTCCTTGAGTAGAAAATCCTTAGTAATCGAACCATAGTGTGCAAAATGAATTTTTTTAAAGGAAAATAATTCATTAATATGAAACGTGTACATGAAGCATAGAATAGTAAAGCCAATGACAAAAATAAAGATTGGATGTCGTCTGCAAAGTTCAGCTAAGGTGCTTGATGGTTCAATGAACATTAGATTCAGTGCATTATTATTCACTTGTCCTTAGAAAATTTCACTTAAAAATCAAGATATAACCATAACAAATATTTCCAAGTTTGGTCCAGTGGACTTCTCATTATACTAGATATAGGAAGATGTGGTATGAGTGCCAATGAGACTAGTCTGACCAGAGTTTTATGGTTTTGACCATTGGACCAGTGTTCTTTTAAGTCGAACATGCCGGTTGACCCTTTATACGAGTTGGAAGAAACAGCAAACAACAAAAATGATTAGCCATACAAGAGTACAATATACAACAATAGGTAGAAGACCTGAATGCTTTATACCTTCTATGCAGATACCTTATGTTAAGAATTTTCTGTCTGTTATATGTCCTTAACCTAATTTCATGGTTCAGTGATTGCTTGAAAAAGTCTTTTAGATTTTTTTCATTTTTAAAATACTCACTTGTAATTTGATAACTATATTTGGTATATAAGATTATTTCAAGGTCTACATGTCTGTCAGACCGGGTTCACCTGACCTCTACGTCATTTCATGAATCTGTGAGGTATATAGAAAGTCCAAATAACTGTCCATCCCTGGGAAATAATGGAGCGGAGGCCCGTAGGGCAGACGCCCATTATTTCCCAGGAATGGACAGTAATTTGGACTTTCGCTAACTTAAAATACACCTTAAATAATAAGAACGAATCTTTAGATTATAACATTTAAAAAAAAAAAAACACATTTTATAATGGTTTTCGTTTCATTTCCCCATATTGTATCCAATAATCCACAGGCGAAATTTAAGATCAAGCTGACCATCTACTCACTTAACAAAGTATTTATGAACAGTAGAATAATTAGTATAAAAAGATCTTGAATTAAGTTTATCCAGATGAGTGTTTTAAGTCATTGGATACGCACGTCTTGTAGTGTGATTGAAAGGATATTTATTTGTGTCTTTAAGTGGTATTTCGAGAGAGAGAAAAAACTAGTATTTATGCATATATGTTAAAGATAGGCGGGGCTTCAGCTTGTATACATGTTAAGTATAATGTATACAAGCTGCTGGAAGCCCCACCTATCTATTGATTGCAGATGTCAATCTTAATTACAATGCTTCAGCAAACATGTATACAAACAAAAAACCTTTAAACTACAAGCATTAGCAAAATAGCTCTAACCACAATATTATTGTAGAAACTATCCGAGTAATATTTCTTTTGTTAATGTACATTTATTATAAAATGGAACAAACGATTTTTGCTGTACAAAATCAAAATACAACACTTTAAATTTCAAGCAAATTATATCTTAAACGGTAAAATTAAAATCAAATCTGTACGTGAATATAAAAATAAGAAAATGTAGTATGATTGTCAATTAGACCACTCTCCACAAGAGACCAAATGACACAGAAATTGACAACTATAGGTCACCACTAACTATACGGCCTTCAACAATGAGCAAAGCCCTTACCGCATAATCAGCTATATAAGGGCCCCGAAATGACATGTAAAACAATTCAAACGAGAAAACTAACGGCCTGATTTATGTACAAAATAATGAACGAAAAACAATTATGATATACGGCAACAAACGACAACCACTGAATTACAGGTTCCTGACTTGGGACAGGCACATACAGAATGTGGCGGTGTTAAACATGTTAGTGGGCGCCCAACCCTCCCCTAACTTTGGACAGTGGTGTAAAAGTACAACATATGAAGCACAAAAACAAGTAACAAAAATACAGAGTGGACGTGGCAGGGTACTTATACATCCCCACAACAAAAAGAAACTAAGTACAGATCTGAGAGTACTCGCAGTTACTGACAGCTAGTTCAAAGCCAATAACAACTAATAAAAAAAAAATCATACAACTGAGACTAATTTTCCTTATTGAATAATGTAAATGTGTTCAATATCACAAAAGAATTCAACTGAGTTACACATTTGATATTTTGTAGATGCACAGAAGAGGAATGACACTCAATGGAAAATCTTCGTTTTTACCCGCTTGGATACTATCCGTGACAAAAATTCAGCCACGGTTTGCATCGGAAAACAAAATGTGGATAATGTTGTGGAATTTTAGTGAAAACGATACTATATGTTATACAATGGAATTACGACTCGCAAACAAAAGCTCTTTATTAATAATGAGATATTTGGTGTTCATTGTATTACTACGATCCCTATTTAAAAAAAACTCCAGTATCAGTCGTTTAAGTAAGTTTTCATCTTTATTCAATATCGCGTTTCGTCCTTAGGATTATTTCCATGGGTGAACACTTTTTAAGAAATTGCCCTTGGAAATATCCGAAGGGCAAATCGTCCGGATGAATGAAGATGAACAAATTAAAGAAAATAACTCTCCATTCCTGAAAAAATAATGGAGAGTTTGAACAAAAAGATTTACATTATGGGTGTATTTTAATCAAGGTTTAGCACATACTTACAACTTCTCGTCCAATCAAGCCCCTCGCTCTAAATTACATAGTATATACTTTTCCATACACTAACCTAGACTAAGTTTTCGTGGTCAAGTCCCTATCTATTAAATACTTGGCAGTAGATCAACTATATTTGGTGTATGGAATGACTATAAGGTGTACATATCCCTGTGGCATGTTTCATCTGACATTGCTCTTTTTTCATGGTTCATTGGACAATGTTTAGTTTTTTTGTGGTTTGGTCTACTACTCAGATCTATAAGCAATAGGGCCACAATATTTGCTGAATGGAAAGATTGTAAGGTGTGCATGTTCGTCTGACAGCGTTATATGACCTTGACCTCATTCCTTGATTCATTGGTCAATGTTTTGTCAGTTATGTCTAGGTTAGTCTATATAAAGGTATATACTATGAAATTTAGAGCGAGGGGCTTGCCCCGAGCTCTTAATTTCATAGTATATACCTTTTCATAGACTATCCAATTTAGCACATATTTACAACTCGAGTAATCTTTTAATTGGTCTATTGATAGTTTATTTTGGCTGACTACTTGTATCACAGGTGTTTGTAAAACGGAGCTCATTTACGAAGTTTTGTAAATCTACTCACTAGTATCATTGTAAAATATGTTATTCCAAAAGGCCCTTGACTCCAGAATGAAAAGATGGTAGCTGCTGGTGTAAGTATGTATATTGATATAAAGCGGTGTTTTACTATACATGTTCTTCTTACATGGTAAGATGACCAAATAAATTGACCAAAAGCAGGCAATAATTAAATTGCAGTGGAAGCTTTACATGTTTTGAAAACATTTTTTATTTCACAGTAAAACTAAAGCTATAATAAATTTGAAACATATAGATAGTTTGTCCCCATAGATAAAGTCTAGCAGATAGGCATTAAAAAGCAACTACCAATAGATCACAGATTATAGGTTTTGTGTTTTTTTTTTTTTTTTTTTTTATTATTTCAAAGTAAAAACTAAAAGATTTATCAGAATATGTTTATATATATATATATATATATAATTGGCACATTATCTTCAGACATAATCACAGTTTTTCAATTCATGACATCGTCCTGAACATGCATGAAATATTTGCCACTGGAAATTAAGCAACCGATAATCAATAAATCAATCAATTCATGACGAAATAGATCACCTTCCTTAAGAAAGTTTAAAAAATTATCACCAAGTTGCTTTAATTTCCCCTTCACAAGGTTTCATAGTACACATTTTTTGTGTACAAAGTTATTGCATGGATGATACATTATCATAATTTTAAGATATCGTTGTACTCTAATCAAGGTATAAAGAACCATATGTATTACCCTTTATTTAAATGAAAGAAATGTGCAATTGTCAAAAACATTTTTTAGATCCAAAGATTTTAATAGGAGGATATTTAAAAATCAACGTGAAAACTAATTACAAATTATTTAATTTAATTTGGAACACAGCATTTTATTTCAAAATAGCCAGTGGCAATTTTTGTTTTAAATATCTTGATTACGATACAATGAAATCTTACCCTTGTGGTCATTCATGCGTAGTTACTTAGTACACGGGAAAAGTATGTACTATGAAAATTAGAAGGCAAATATAAGCAATTTGATTGGACGAGAAGTTGTAAGTATGTGCTAACAAGTACTTATACAAGCAAAAGGTGAACTATATTTGGTGTATGGAATTATTGCATGGTGTACATGTTGTCGAGCAATGTCCATCTGACCTTGACCTCATTTTAATGGTTTGTTGGTCAGTGTTTAATATTATAAACGAAACAAACCAAAAAAGTTCTGCATTGGACAAATTGCTACCAATCTTTGGGGATCTCCGGTATTTTCCAACTGCTCACCAACATCACCAGTTATGGTGAATACATCACTGACACTGGAAAATTATGACGGACAAATTTCCACACTCTACCCCTTGCGAAGACCATGTTACAATAAATCAAAGTAAAACACGCCTAATATGCTGCATTTGAAAAGAAAACAAATTTGACTGTTACAATTTCACCGGTAAAATGTAAAAAAGTCGAAAAAAAAACTGCACTTGAGTCCATACATTTGATCAATCAAGTAAATGAAATATTTTTAAACTAATTTTAGATTAATCTTGATTATGCTGGTTTTTTTTTAAAGTGAATATATTTTTTTATTTTCAATCACCTG